TTTTTATTTATTTTATTTTATTTATTTTATATTTATTTATATAGTATTTATTATTCTATAAAAATGCATCTATCGTATATCATATTTCATTTTCATGTTCAATAGAAACTTAGTTATTTACTTATATTAAAACACTTGTGAATTTCTTTTTTCTTTTTATATCTTTCTTTTTCTCTTTCTATATATAATAATAATAATAATAATAATAATAATAATAATAATAATAATATAGTAATAATTTAAATAAGCGATTAAATTATTTAAATATAATGGATTATAAACATTGATCTTATTGATTTTTAATTAAATATTTTAAGTTTACACAAAGTTTAACAAATCATTGATATCTTCATTGAATAACAAAACTATTCACTTGTTCACGGCGCAAAAAAATATTATTTTATTATTCTAGTTAATAACTTGAACAACAGAAAATAATAGAAAAAAAAATATAATTAAAGATATTCATTGTCATAGTATCAATTTTTGAATAAAAATTTATTTTCATGTAATTAAATAAATAATCAACTTGGAACTCTAGATGTATTTTTCAATTATTTTCTACATAACATTCTCTTCATACTCAATAAAATTAATTACAAAAATTAGAAAATATTCGAAAGAAAGTTGATCGTCTTAGAAAGGTCCACACGACAATAAAGATCATGACGAAGTTAAGTGATAACAAGTACAGTCACGTGATTAAAAGACAGTTGGGTGAAAGGTAGTAGACGTCTGTGCATCGATTCAAATCGAAGCCAAAGTAAACGGTGAACCGGCAGAAAATGTGCATTCCTGACAAGGCCGCTTATACGAGAAAGAGGCCATCAGACATCCGGGGAGAAACTAACCGTACTTTGCTTGCTTCTTACTGATCTTTGCTCAACGACTATGCCTATTCAATAACCATGCTTTTACGATTGCACTTAATTACTATTCCCTTTTTGGATTTGTCAAACCTTTCGTATAAACCGTATACCTGCTTTTCATCCTCTGTATACCTGAGAATAATTTTTATTTATTTGTCCCCATGTCCTTGAATTCCATCAATAATTTTTTATGTCAATTCATGCAGTATTTTACAGAGGGTTCATTATTATCACAATAAGCATTATTATAAATCCTAGCAAATCTTTATTTTTATCTCTAAGAGACTTTTATTTTTAGAATTTAGCGATTTTTTTAGAGAATTAGAAAGAAAATATTTTTCAAAATCCTATGATTTTTAGTGAGTCATATAATCATTAATACAAAAGATGTCTATAAATATTAGAAATGGCTCAGGATTAAAGTTTTAGTGGAATGTATAAAATAATGTGATCAGTTTGTTAAATATTCCATAAATATATATATAATATGTAAATGTTTATTCTATTATATTAATATTCTATATTATTAATAAATATTAATTTATGAAAAAAAAAGAATTTCAATTCAAGTTTAATATTAATATTTTTTTGCAAGTTTTTTTTCTTCCAATATTTGAATTATCTAAATGGATAACAATAAAATAAAAAAGAATTTAGAGAAAAAATAAGAATATTGCGAAATTTCATAGTCTATAAAACAAATATTTTTTTTTCTTGTAAAAAGTGAATAAAAAACTTGCTTCATTCTGTGAATGCATTCTCAAATTCACAAATCAGTTGATCTACGATTTGTACCTAACTGAATCAGTATTTTATTTCTTGCTAAATAAAATTTCTTTGATAAATATTTAAATCAGAATTATAAATAATTTAATATAAAAATATTAATTAAATTAATTTCTATATATTTAAAATTACTCAAGTAAAAAATTAGAAAAAAATTTTGAAAAATATTGACATTCTATAATTAAAATTATAGCATTTTAGTATAAAGAATTTTTGAATTTTTGTGTCGATACAGTTTAGTCGTAAGACTAATTCTAATTACACGTCCAATGCGTCCTTGCCAGCAATGCGGTAAAAGATTATGAACCAAAATGCGAACATCAGCTTTTAGGATTTTATTTTTCAACAGTTGTAACTATCTTGCTCTTTTAACATACATATGTTGATGAAATTACTAAATTCTAAATTTTTAGAATATTTACATTTATTATTACATTTATATTTATGAACATTGAAATGAATTGTTCTTAATCTTATGTATTTTGATTTCAAAATGTGTATTTGATATTTTATTTCTAAAAAGTTTTTAATTAATTGTAATGTAAATATAATGTAATATAAAAAATATATTGTAATTATCTTTTTTAATATTTTTTTATGCAATTTTTATATAATATATTATTTCAATAATATATTATTGAATCATTTAAAAGTACATTAAAATATTCTTATCGAGAATTTATTATATAATTTATTCATAGTGAGTTATAGCGACTTAGCATTGTGACATTTAACACGCATGTTGTATCGGTTGGTAAACCAGGTTTCGAACAGTTCCTGGTAGAAAGTGTACTTTTACACGTTGAATAATTTTTATATTAATATATATGTACATATTTATGTCAATTACTAAAAATTATTTATTTTTGATAATTTGTTTTTATTTTATTTTTAATGTTTAAAAAAATATTTAAAAAAATTTGTTGTTTATTTTTTTTTTTTGTATTTGAATCGTAATTTCATAATGGAAAAATAATTATTAATTTTTAAATTTAATATTTTTGATTATCGAAAAGATATTTTTTTCAAAATAACAATTACGTACTATTATTATATATTTAATTTTTGTTTTTATTATACTAAAAAATCTGTTATTATTATAATATTATTATAATATAATAATATTATTATTATTATTATTATTATATAATTATTATTATAATATAATATATTTGATAGATGGATATATCAGTTTTCGATTTTTTTCAATTATTCATATTTTTTTCTTGAATAAAAATTTGTTCAATTTTAAAGAAACGAATAATTATAAAAACAAGAAAAAACTCAAATAAATTCTTGAATTTACAATTATAGTTAAAGTTTAATGTAAATATTCTTAAAACATCTTGTATTTCATTATATTTCATTGTATTTCATTAATATAATATATATAAAAATCACTGATGCTTTTATAATAGTGACATGAACAGTTTTATTTAATGTCGATGTCAATGTTATGTAGAATATGTATGTAGGATAAGATAGTTGCTTTTAACTTTGAATACAAATAAGAATGTATATTTTTTAAAGAACTGTTTACACGGTTCGAAGATATTTTTGTGCGATGAAGTTGCAAAGAAAGAAATATATAATTCTTGGAAATTTCCGAGACAAATGAAGTATGTGAAAAATACATTAACAATAGCGGATGTTATCCGTTTTGCGATAAGCGCGAAAATGTTCAAATATGAAAAATAAAGGCAAAATCAATG